GTTTAATTGGAGGATCATCGTTTGCAGCTTTTGCAGGTCTTCGCTGATGCTGTCTGCCGAGTTTCCAGCTTTGTCGAAATGGTCTGACTGTTTCTTATCGTCGTTCGTGGCTTCTTGGCTGGTGGTTGGCAATTTCGAATGGACGCTCACGTTATGCAATTGGAATAGGCTCATATTCTGGAATTTGATTCCGCATATCTCACAACTAATGTCTGAAGGGGATGACGTTTTACGGTCTATAGAGCTGTTGGTGGCTTGCTGTTCTGCCATGATCAAGTTCAACGGACTCGTTTGCACGTAATGCACTCCCATGGAGTCTATCTTCATATCTTTGTCTCTGTCGTCGGGAATGTAAATCCCGTGGCGTTTCATTTTGTGGGTTCGCAAAAAATATTTGTTACAGTACTCCTTGCAGCAGATCTCGCAAAATGCTTTTGGATTCATCACGCCGATGCGGCGCAGTCGGTTCGAAAGATCCAGCTCACGGGACTGCTGTCCGGGCGAAGTTTTACTGGGGGATGCATAGAACATACCCTCTTGGTCCGAGATTTCCTGTTTCATTGAGGTAGGTGGTTCCGATTGGGGAGCCCTGGGGCTCGGAGATTCTTCTTGGTCGTTCGCTGAAACGGCGTCGTTCGTCGATCCGTTTTCCGGGTTTTCCATTTCGAACACGGACTTTCCAATCTTCGGGAATAGCTTGTTGGTAAACGGATTTGGAAAGAGGTCGGGATAGGATTGCAGCAGCTGGGGTTTTGGCTCGATCTTGACAGAAGAAATGTCGACGCTTGGCACGGAATTCGGTATTTTCATGTTGGTCACGTATGAAGGAATGCTGACGGAGGAGCCCAAACCGGCCGTCTCTGCCGGCGGATCGGTGTAGATGCCGTGCTTGTTGGCTTTGTGTGTTTTCAAAAAGTACTTGTTGCAAAACTCCTTGTTACACAATTCACAGTAGGCGTCCGGGTTAAATATTCGAATTGGTTGCCGGGGAGGCAACGCGTCCGGCTGCGTGAACTGTGGTAGACCCATGAACATATGATTCGTGGTTGGAAACGGTAGAAGGTTGGGACTCATCCATTCCTTGCCGGGGATCTCTGAGATCCAGGGGATGTCCGGCTTGGTGATCAGTTGTTCTGGCGTTGCTGACGTATCCTGGTTGTCGGGGGAGTCGAGATTCGGCGAATCGCATGGTTCTCTTTTACATTCGAAGTTTGAGTGCTCCGAAGACATGTGGCTTTGCAAGAGATCTTGGGTCGCAAACACCACTTGGCAAATAGGACAGCGCGACTCCGGTTCTGGGGACGGCACAGGCTTACCTTCTGGAGACGAGTCGGATGCCGAGATCCTTACTGGTGTGGATTGTTTCCTTCGCTTCTTACAATTGTCTGATAGGGTTGTAGCCAGGCAACGTTTAGCAGGTCTCGGGACCTCGAAGTCGTGTCCACTCATCGGCGGGTCTTCTGGTACGGTCGGCGTGAAAGCACCGTGCATTGGGCCGGAATTGGAGGGCAACGTGACCGATGTCATCATCTCGTTTTGTAGGCGACATGCAACACTACCAAAAGGTCCCTGCCCAACATTTGCAACAGAAAAAACACAAAAATAGTACAATTGTGAAAAACGCGTTTTGGGAATTAAATTCATATTTACAATATAATATAATACCCGGTAAACAAAAGAAAAATAAAATTGCTGTTATTTCAACTCAAAACAAATAACAAAACAATTTGGTACCACAATTTATTGATGTTTTTCATTTAAAGTATATAATAAAATAATTTTAATTAATTCAAGAAATCCTTTTAGCTCAAATTATAGCCAATAACAAAATACTAAAATGTATATATTTCTCAAGCAAGTCTGAAATATTTGATTAGTTTGAAAACAAACAAACAAACAAAAAATAAAATAAAAATGTATAAAAGAGAAATCTGATTTAAAAAGTTGTGCTTCTCAATTATAATTCATATTTTCCCAATTCTGAATTAGAATGAAAAAGTTTGAAAGTTGTAAAACTAATTTTATTTTTTTTGAGCAACAATAACCTAAAAATGAAACAAATTAAACAGAAAACTGATTAAAAAAAAGTTATGTTTCTGAATTATAATTAAAATTTCTCATTTTGGAATCCAATTCACTTACATTTCTGTTTATCTTGAAGATTAGTAATTTCATATTTTCAGCAAATAGAATTTATAAAATTTTGAAAAGTATACTTCTATTATATTATAAAACACTGAATTGCACTTGCAAAATCTGAATTGTACTACCAAAATCTGAATTGCACTTGATCAATTTGTATTGTTCAGTTTTAAGGTTAAGTTTTGCAAACAAAAAACAAATAAAAGAAGCTTCAATTCTAAACTTCGCTACCGCGAAAGTTGGTGGCGCAACCGTGGCGTGATCATAAGAGGTCCCAAAGAAAAATGTCAATATCCTCTCTGACCATCGGGGATCAAATTAACGGAGAGCCTTCATTAAATATTTACTGGGCGCGTATGAATCATCATCATCCCCTCGACCCTTCATAATTCGATCCCGCCGTCGATATAGAAAATAATTACGCTGCTACGTCTACTAACCGTGCTTCAGCGGGTTGTGGGGGTGGTTTTCTTAATTAGTCAACACACAGTTCGAACATCACAGAACAACAAAAAAAAAAACAACTCCTATGTACTCCTCTAACACGCGCGACTTTCAATCAATGACACTTCTTCCAATAAGAACTGACAGGCATACAGGACACTCACTCACACACGCATACACATACGTATATATGTATACACGGAACCACCGCATGTGCTCCCTTGTTCCACGCTGCACGATGTCCGCCTGCGTATGTGTGTATGCACATACATCCCCGAAAATACAGCGTATTGAGGTAAACTATTAGTCTCCACCCCACATATAATAAAAACTACCCCCTCTTCATCCTCCTACTAAAGCGGCTCGTGAATCCAGCCGATTCACAGAAAAACGTGACAAGCATCGAATGTAACAAAATCAAATAATTTTGAAAAAAAAAAAATATTTGTCCACTAAAGCAATTATTATTATTTTTTTTTTCAAATAACAATCAAATATTTAATGAAGAATGCATTATTAAAACTGTGCGTGGAGACTTTTTTTTTTGCTTTAATATTCCAAGCCGTATCAATATTTAAATTGACACAGAAATATTGTAAATAAGATAATGAGAGCGAAATTAAAAATGTGGCCCCAATGAGAATATTGATTATGTGATATTAAATGCGTATAGATAAAAAAAAATGATAGAGGGAAATTGAGAGAGAGAAAGAGTTATTTGTATATTATGTATAT